ATCATAATTTGATTTTTTCAATATTGCACCAAGGTATGTCATTTTCAAAGTCCGCTGGCTGAAATAGGAATTCAGATCCCAACCTAAATAAAAGTTACTCTTGTACAGAAAAATCCAATGCTCTATCCAATGGTGTCATTCAAAACCAAATTGGGAATGACGCATATTGAGATTTTTGCCTTGAAAGTTGGCTAGTTTTGCACAAATTTTTTTTTGGCCAACTTTCAAGTGGGCCACCTCTGGACATTTGGATACAACAGAGTTGCTATTGCATCACTGCATAATATTGTGCTTGTAATAAATCATTGCAAAAGATCATGGCGTTTAGACCTTTTGGTGATGAGCAAGTGGTCTTCAAATTGGGGTCCAAATTTCTTGCGACAAAATTCGGCAGTGATTTTAGCATGGATGGATAGCTGAATGGCCACCCATACTGCTTTTTCGATTACACTACGTTATTCTACACCAAAAGTTGTCCTGGTATGTCAAATTTCACACTCCTACAGGCAATAGAAGTGATTTAACAAAGGGTAAAAGTTGGTCATTTTTGTGGTACTTACGCATTAACAGAACGAGAGCCCATTGAATATCTGAAGACATTGAAAAACTACAAGCAGATGTTAATAAAGTTTTTGACTGGGCAGCAGAAAATAACATGATGTTTAACAGTGATAAATTCCAGGTACTTGGGTACGATATAAATGAGAACCTTAATGATATAGGGTACAAAATGCAATCAAATCTGCCCATAGTAGGAAAGCAGCATGTCAAGGATTTGGGAATAATGATATCCGGTGACCTAAAGTTTAGGGAGCATAACTAAGCAAATAATGCGTCAACCAGAAAAATTATATGATGGATTATGAGAGCTTTCAAATCCAGGGATCCCATCACAATGGTTGTACTATTCAAATCACTTGTGCTGTCCCATCTTGAGTACTGCTCGGTACTCACTTTCCCCTTCAGAGCAAGAGAGATTGCTGAAATATAGGGAATACAGAGAACATATACGGCATGCATAGACACGATAAAGCACCTAAATTATTGGGATCATCTTGAAACTCTCAAAATGTACTCACTAGAAAGGAGACGAGAAAGATATCAAATAATATACACATGGAAAATACTGGAGGGCCAGGTATCAAATCTACACAGAAAAATATCAACATACTAGAGTGAACGACATGGAAGAAAATGCATAATAGAACAAGTGAAGAGAAAGGGGTGCCATAGGCACAATCGGAGAACAATGTATAAGCATCAGAGGTCTACAGTTATGCAACATCCTCCCAGCGAGTACAGTATAAGAAATATTGTGGTAACAGCCGTGGACATCTTCAAGAGAAAACTAGATTGTTTTCTTCAAGAAGTACTGGACCAACCGGGCTGGTGGACATGTGGGCCTGCAGGCAACTCCAAGCAACAGCCTGTTGGGCCAAACTCTAAAAAGTCGAGCCTGGCCTTGGGCTGGGCTTGGGTAATAGAAGGACTTCCAGAACTTCATCCAAGTACCATCCAGATGGTTCATAGTTATATAGGTAGTAGAAGTGGTAAATGTTTATGGTATTAAGTTGACTGAAGTGGAGAAGAACTAAAAGAATCCCATCAAGCAGGTATCAAGCAGGAGATTACTGGTGATGAGATACCCTCAGTGCTTGTACCCACTTCCTCACTGCATCACTGCTTTCACCTCGGCTCTCGTCGCTGCCTATCTGTTACGTATTGCTTCATCACTTTCACTCCTATAAAAATTGTCAAAGATTGTAGATTTAGCCTTAATATCTGAATGTGCTGTCTTGCTCATTTGATATTCAGTGCTATCAACACTTCTTGAGATCCCATTCTCCACCTTCTTATGTAAACTTTCTTAGGCTATCTTAGTTCAACTTTCTTGTTAAATGCCAACAGGGATCTCTTTCTCTTTCCTCACTTGTAGTAGCTTTTATTGACAAAATACATGCATTGAGCAAGGGCATTCATAAATTTTGTGGATATTTACGACAAAATCATGGGAATAAGTGCTCCAATGCCTTGTGACAAATCAAAACAATCAGCCATGGACTTATGACGTCACGTGGGTAGGTTGCTCCCAGTATAATCACGGGGCAAACTAGACCCATCCACTTTATTGCATATTTTTATTTGGACTGCCCCACTTGCCTCACTACTTTATCACTAATTTTATTTAGACAGACAATAAAATGAACAACTCTCATATCTGGGTAAGTAGTGTCCAGAAAACATGTGGTCATCTGTACAGTACTGAAATGTTTTTAGAAAAATATGTTCAGACATGTTTGTCTGACAGAATTGCAGATGACATCAGTAAAGAGAACACGTTTTATTTAAAATACTGTTTTACATAGCTTTGCAAGATTACAGTTTTTTTACCAATTTATAACATTGTGACATTGGAAATTGACTTCTTTAACCCCTGCACTGCACCTGTTTTTGGCAAAAACTTCATAGTGCAATTGTTAAGGACATATTTTTGTTGTTTTTATATATGTTCAGGTAAAGTTGTTTCAGATCAAAATGTTTCCAAACTCAACCATTTTCATTTCAAAACACAAAGAGTGATGAAAATATTAATAAACATTAAAATATAGCCTAATTAAAAAAAAAATAGTACAACTCTCAGAACGAGATTTCTCGGTTGGCGCAGCACAGTGGTTAAACACATTCCGTTTGTAAGTTGAGGACTGCCTGTACATGCATAGAGTAAAAATGTGTGTTCGTGTACATCTGTAATCTATTGGTATGTTAACACTTTCGCGCACTCCGTGCGCCACCCCTCAACTGTGCGATATGGGACCCAGGGTGTCACGGGAGCGTGCGTAAATTCTGAAAAGTGTATACTCTCCAACTTTGTCACCTTAATTCTCGTCCTACGAGATTAAATTTTGTATCATTGTGTTCGCAATAGAATTCTCTACAGCACTAAATGCATATAAACTCCAGAAGCCCTGCTAATTACCTGCAGCAAACTGAGAAAGTGCGAACGAGTTACCCAGGAGCGCGCAAACGCAATAAAATGTTTTCACTATTTTCACTCTGGTCACGTCAATTTTCGTCCTAGGTCTTTCATTTTGGTCTCAATGGGTTCGCAATAGAATTCTCTAGAGGAACATTAGCATATAAAATTAAAAACCTGGTCACGCTCCAACCGCCGATGAGTTGAAGACGGGCCACGCGTTAGCCACAAGTGAGCGCTCAGACGCCTTCCAGCTACACTCCCAATTCCCGCCCTTTTCAAGCCTTTCTTTCGCAATTTTCTTCCTGGAAGGGCCTTGTTCATGATCACTATCCATCGTGGAGTAAGCGTAGATAGTTTCTAAAGCCGCAGTAAGAAATATAGCCACGGAAAATAGCCGAAATGTTCACACGTTTGAGATGCGAGGGGAGGCAACATTGGTCACAACAGTGGAGCGAAAACAATGGGCCCACGGCGTGTGCCAAGCCACCTGAGGGCCACGAGGCTCAACATAGAAAATGGGAAGACATCGGTGCGCATTTTAAAACCAGTCCCCCCAAAATCGGATAAAAACCTGATTTTTGGCGATTTAAAGTGGATGACGCAATGCTGCGTCATGCCCGGGTGAAAGTGTTAACATAAAAAATTTGTCTTGTGGGCAGATGGTAAAAGGTGTTTTTGTTGTGTTTCATAATTTTCATGAACACAACATGAAATTTTTTGTATATATTGGAATGAATTGTCATCATGTTGACCAAACCACACACTAGAAAGTGAAGACGATGACAATGTTTCGGTCCGTCCTGGACCATTATCAAGTCGATCATCCTGGACCACAATCGACTTGATTGTGGCCCAGGTCCAGGACAGACCGAAACATTGTCCTCTCTTCACTTTCTATTGTGTGGTTTGGTCAACATTTTCCAGCCACGTTATTGTGACTCCTCATCTGCAATTGTCATCATCTATCCTGACAAGGTCATCAGGTTTTCAGTAAAATGTAAAAGTGTAAAATGCCCACAGAGGATTAATAGCGGGTTCTGCTATAGACCAAAAAGTCTCCCTTCTAACGTTTTTCTAATGTGTTGCACTTGAATGTTATCTTTACGGCTTAACAGTACTTATTTATACTCAACTGTTTCTCTATTACCTTTTTTAATTCTGCATTTTTTTTAAATGATTGTAAAATCATTCAACATTGATTCAACATTGATTTGTTATAAATTCATTAATTTTTGTAGGATTTCAAAGTCTGAATTTAGGGATCTTCAAATTGTGTAATTATCATTAATACTGTACTGTATATACTTTATATACAAACAATAAAACATCTAAATTATTGGGACCGTCTCAAAGTTCTCAAAGTGTACTCTTTGGAAAAGACATGAATCGTATCAAATAATGTATACATGGAAAAGAACCAGGTCCCAAATTTGCACAGTAGAATAACAACAAACTGCAGCAAAAGATATGGGAGGAAATGAAGAATAGAACCAGTAAGGAGTAGAGGTGCTATAGGCACAATCAGAGAACATGGTCTGAACATCAGAGGTTCATGGCTGTTCAATACTCTCCTAGCAAGCATTAGAAATAAATAACTTCTTGCAAGAAGTGCCAGACCAACCGAGTTGAAGTGGATATGTGGGCCTGCGGGCTGCTCCAAGAAACTGCCTGTTGGACTTACTGTAGTTATCTTAAGACGAGCCTGGCTCCAGGCCGGGCACGGGAGGAGTAGAAGAACTCCCGAAACCCACTCCAGGTATGATTCATGTGTGTATATACTGTATATATATAAATATACTGTATGCATGTATTTATGTATGTACATTATATTATATAGCTGCCTTCTGAATGCAATTACGTAAATACCTAATTGTAGTTACAGAATGCGAGTTTCACTCGTGGTGTCCCATCTATTATTCTTGTATACTACTAGTATATACTGTACTAGTATTCTAGTGTATTTTAGGAGTATTCTTATAATTTGGATTATTATAGTTATTATTATTATTTTTGTTTTTTTCAGGCTCGGTTGGTGGAAGTCAAATAGCAGTTGGCGGTGGAGGTGCCTATAAGTCAGTTCCATTACAGGCCCTCCACCGCTCTCCAGCTGAGCGGAGGTACCGCGACCCAGCACAGGGCCCTTTACGGAAACTGTCAGTCGATCTCATCAAAACTTATAAGCACATAAATGAGGTTGGCATTGCCTGTCTATCTTGATATTTTTTTTTTTTTTATTTTCTTTATGCATGTGTGTGTGTGTGTTTTGAGGCAGCATGTGTTATAACATTTGTGATTAGAGTGGCATCCTAACTTGGAACTTGCAACGTCTACTTAAAGGCGTTTATCTAAAGTTTCAGATGTCTCCTGGGAATTGCATCTTAGATCGAGTTAATATTTAGCCTTAGTAGCTTGGAACCTTTGTGCAACTTGTTAGGAATAATTTTTTTTAATGTTTTCATTTTATATACAGTACGTATGTAAATGTCAAGTACTGTAAGACCAGTTTGCCTGGAGTTTCTGCCATCTAGCCAGCCACCTTATTCACTTTTACCTCTTTGCTGAGTCCACTTTTAAATAAAAAGTGCCATACCTTGAGGTTACCTTGAGATGGTTTCGGGGCTTAGCGTATTCTCCGTGGTCCGGTCGTTGACCAGGCCTCCACATTGCTGGACTGGTCAACCAGGCTGTTGGACACAGCTGCTCGCAGCCTGACGTATGAGTCACAGCCTGGTTGATCAGGTATCCTTTGGAGGTGCTTATCAAGTTCTCTCTTGACGTATTATCTATCTATGGAATATTTTCTTCTGTGCAGGCCATTGGTTGGTTTTTGTACCGTTTCCTGCTTCACATTTGTCTTTTGTGCCTTCCACCTTTGTGTGCTGTGTTTGTGAATGTTTTCACTGGATGCATGCCATGGTTCCCTTCCCTGGTAGCCAGCTTCTCTCTCCCTTGTTAGGGGGGGGCTTGAAGGTTGAGTGAACAACACTCACGATTTGTAGTCCTAAGGTTCTGGGTTCAATAATCGGCAGACGAGGAAAAAAGAAATGAGTTTTTCACCCTGATGCACCTGTTCATCTAACAGTAAATAGGTACCTGGGAGTTAGACAGCTGCTACGGGCTGCTTCCTGGGGATGTGCAACAAAAAAGAGGCCTGGTTGGGACGCTAAGCCCTGAAATCATCTTGAGATAATCTTCCTTGCTCCTCCAGAATTATTTTCTCTGCTGGGGTTGTGGTTTTTACCTTTCCATGTTGACTCCTCTCAAGCCCTTTCACTTCCAGATAGTGCTTGGATTTACTTTATGATTCAAAGCATTTTGATGTGGTGATAGTAGTTAGCTGTGTGACTGTATGCACCCGGTTCTGTAGTCTGTGTTTAACCAAGGATGCGCTTGAGTTGTGCGAGTGGAGTCACAACTCCACTCACACAACCTCTGACCTCTGACCTGATGTGTTGAGGTCAGAGGTAAGTGTTTGTTCAGCTGAGATGCTTTTCCTGTGTCTGGCCTTCTACTAGTCGGTGGGGTGATTCACGTGGCCTGTATTCCTCACCACTGGTTGGAGGTTTTGTAGGTCTTTTGTGTTTAAGCCGGCTGTTATGATTTTTTTGAGGAGCCTGGTTGTTCCACAACCTGGTTGAGGTTGTGGATGATTGTGGAGCCTGGTCTCAGGCTGGGCTCGGGGAGTAGAAGAACTCCCAGAACCCTCTCCAGGTATGCTCTTCAGGTATGCTTCAGATATCTACCTCTGTGCCTTACAATGAAGTGTGCAGTTTTTATGGTGCGATTCAGTGTTTTTGGACACTGATAGCCAATCCTCCTGCCTGTCATACTGCCTGACTGCTTGTTAAGTTCAGCAGTTCTTTCAAGTACAGTATGTGCTATTGGCGGGTGTTAAACTTCTGCTCTGGCGAAGCTATGCTCTCAAGTGGTGGTTTATCAGGCTTCTGCAAGATTGTGCATTGTGGTTCTGGCTTCTGGTGTTCTTGGCTGTATTGGTTAGTATGATCAATCTTCCATTGTTTTATGAGGAGAATATTGAACATCTTGTATTCGGTAAGTGTGCCAAATATATGATGATCTCCTTAGCCACCTCTGCTTAGGCCATCAAGAGATCAAGAGACTGAGCCTTGGGTGATCTGACTTCCCATCCTTTTCCCTATTTACAGGATCCTAAGGGACCTTTGGCAGAGGTGGCCATCTGCAGGGAATGGCCTTTAGGGGCAATTCTGCTTGGAGTTTTAATGGGTATGGCAGAGCCTTCTATTCCCCTCCTCATTCCCAGTAGCAGGCGATGAGTCACAGTAACGTGGCTGAAGTATGTTGACCAATCCACACACTAGAAAATGAAGGGACGACGACGTTTCGGTCTGTCCTGGACCATTCTCAAGTCGATTGTGGACCATTGACACAATCAGTCCGTCCTGGATGATTCCCACAATCGACTTGAGAATGGTCCAGGACGGACCAAAACGTCGTCGTCCCTTCATTTTCTAGTGTGTGGATTGGTCAACATCATTCCCAGTATTTCTTTGGGATGTGCTGAATACCTCCTCTGCTCCTAAGCGGGTGCGTTTCTGAATCCCAATGAGGTTCAAGCAGATTTGCCAGGTTCCTGCAGCAGGTATGGAGTGAAGTGCATTAGAAGACCATGAACTGTTTTGAGAATTGGTTGTTTTTTGCCTTATAACTGTGGTATGGGGTCCTGGCTTTTGTCTTGGCTGGCAGGCAATGCCTCATTTTACTTTGACAAGTAGCAGATGTTTTGTCATAAGCAGACACTTGACTTGAAAGATGTAGCCCCCATTTTTCATTTTTTTTTTTTTTTTCGAGGGATCCTCTTTCGCGGCAGTCAGTTGTTCTCTGTTGGGACTTGGCAGCTCCACGTGTAAGTGCTTAAAAATTACCTTTGGTTTTTAAGGCAGTGGAAATTAAGGTGTGCACCCAGTTTGTAGAGATTCTCCTATTCTGTGTGGTGCAGGCGTTCTTGGGCAGTTGCATGTCAATCTCGGCTTTGGCTACGGATTCCTCATTTTTTGTCCTTGTTGTCTGCTGCCACAGCCGTGGATACTGTTCCCAAGTTGTTCACTATGGTCTGGCGGCATGGAATAGCATGCTTGTACATGGCTTGTTTTGTTCCTTCAAGCTGTTTTGGATACTTTCAAAGAGTTCACTTGGTCACTTTCCCTCCGGTTTGCTATCCCATTCTTCGCTTTGTCTTCAGAAACCTCAATGGGAAATATCACGAATGGTATGAGGGAAGCAGAAGACAAGATTTCTAGACTGTGGTAGTCATTGAAGCAGTCGACAGCACATAATGGGATACCACACGTTTCACACCATGTTTGCACAAGCTTCCGTTTCTTGTCTCTACGTGTCGTTGTTTTACACACCAAGCAATCACGTTGGGCTATTGCACGCTTCACACCAGGTGGCAAATACTTAAGTTTGTGTGCTAAGAAGCCTTCAGTGTGAGCGAGGCGTGGAGTACCAGCATGCTGCAACAGTGGGTTTATGATGGGCCGCTGAATACCTGGGACATCTTTTGCAAACTTTCCTAATAACTGTATTGCAGCATCAAATACAAAGTCACGGAAAGTGGGCTTACGTCCAGTTCTCACAAGGTACATGTTGAAACAGTTCAGCATGCTCATGTCCACAAGATGGAAGAACACTTTTTTCGTCCACCTACATGTCTTCCGCACACACTCTGCAGTGCCAATCATCATGTCTGATTTATCAATCAACCGCATGTTGATATTATAGTCTAAAACACAGTCTGGCTTATATAGTGGTGCGTTTGTTTTATGGCTCACTTTCCCACTGTTCACCATTGTTCCATCATGAATTGTTGTCAACAAGTTCACCTCTCTTTTGTCTTTCCACCGAACTGACAGAATGTTATCATTTTTCCTTCTCTGACACTCACCAACTGCAATGTCGTTGTCAAACACAGGCATTTCCCTTCGTTGTGGCTTTACTGTACCAACCAATCCGGTTCTATTTTCTAGCAAGAATCGAGCTAGCAAGGGACTTGTATAGTAATTATCTGTGTATAAAATGTGTCCCTTGTTCATCCACGGAGCCATGATGGTCTTCACTACACTCCCCGAGAATCCATGTTCGTCGTTACCGGGAATGTCTACATCACTAGCCGAGTACAGAATCATGTGTAACACGTATCCTGTCTCACAATCACAAAGAACAAAAAATTTCAGGCCAAATCGGTTTCGTTTTGAGGGAATGTACTGTTTGAATGGAACACGTCCCGTGAAAAGTATGAGAGATTCATCAACCGCCAGCTTCTGTGCTGGTACGTAAAAATCTCTGAATTTTCCAATAACATCGTTCATGTAGTGCCTCACTCGCCACAGTCTATCATCAGGTGTTCGGTCCTGAACACTTCCAAATGTAGACACCTGAGGAGTATCTGAAACCTGTCTCGTGACATATATTTCCCGAATAAAGGTGTTGGTATTGTCTTGTCCTTGCTCCAATAGTCATTTATTGCATGTTTGTGACAGTGCTTCATCAACAAACAGAGTGCCAAAAACACATACATTTCCGCCACTGTGGTATTTTTCCAACGCTGCAGTCGTGAAAATTCTGTGATTTCCCTCTCAATCAGGTAAGCAGCATGCAGGTTCGTTTGGTGTACAATGTATTCCATGAGTGGTTCATCATAGAATGCTGTAAAATATTCCATCTCAGCCATGTCCTCACCTTGATTAGGGAAAAGGTTTGTAATCCCTACATCTTTATCGTCAAAGTGTTAATGTACATGAATGTGAATCAGGTGGAAGGAACATCATTGACAGTGATTGGACAGCTTGTAATGAATCATACAATGAAGAGGCAGAGGACGAGTAAGGTGAAGAGTGAGGAAGAGTAGTCAGGTGAAACAGAACGTTTTGAAACAGACAAAATGGGATGACTTATTAAGAAGGACAGAGAAGGTGGAGAAGAGTATGAGTAGAATAGAAGTAGGGTTTGGATGGATAAAGTAGATAGAAAGGTAGAGCTGCCACTATTTATTCAGAATGATTACAAGACAAGAATGGAACGCGTCTCTTCTTAAACAGTTTGGTATATTAATGGACGTTAACAAGTAACTACTGTAAGGATTCAAAACAGTTATTTTCCACAATTCAATCTTAATAAGTAAATGTCTTTCACTTTAGCTTTCACTTTAAAGC